TGTGCAGCTCCAGCATCCCTGCGGGCTCGGGGCCGGTGCGGGCAGGGGCAGAGGTGGGGGGGCACCGGCCATCGCCTGCGCCAGGGTGGGATGGAGCCCTGGTCCCTGCTGTGGGCTCAGCCGCTCTCCCGCGTTCTTGGGCCACAGATATTGGGGTGAAAAGGAGGGGGAGAAAAAGTGTATTTTGTTTCTTTTCCGTTCTGCAGATCACTGTGAAATCCTGCCCACCCCCAGCCCTGCCAGGCCCCCCAACCCATCCCCGGCAGCCCTGCCAAAGAAACCGCGCTGGCCAGCAGGACCTGCTGCCTGTCCCCGAGGGGGACATGCCACGTGTCCCCAAATGGGGTGTGCTGTGTGCCCCCGAGCGGGATGTCCCACATGTCCCCAAGCAGGAGGTGCCATGTGTCCCCCCAAAGGGACGTGCCAGGCCCCCATGCCCATCCCTCGGGTCACCGGCACGGGGGCTGCCGGCTGGCCACGGTGGGGGCACCCAGCAATGGGGGGGCAGGAGGTACCCCTGTAGTGGGGTGCCCCGAGGTGCTGGGGCTCACAGTGGGGCACTCGGGTGGGGGCATCCACCCCCCCTCCCCAGCCGAAACGCTGGGTGCCAAGGAGGCTCAGCCCCAGCACCCCACTGTACCCCACCACCACCCCAGGAAAGGTGCCACGGGGTTGGGGGAACCCAGCACAGCCCCCCCCCAACCCCCCCAGGGTGCTGCAGTGCCAGGGGTGCTGTACCCACCACCCACCCATGCCCCCCCACCGCCTGGGCGGGCAGCCCTGGGGACCCTCACCCCCCTGGGGCACCCCGCTCGGAGCCACCCCATCAACCAGGGCTGGGGGAGCGGGGGCTGCCGGCTGGCCACGGTGGGGGCACCCAGCAATGGGGGGGCAGGAGGTACCCCTGTAGTGGGGTGCCCCGAGGTGCTGGGGCTCACAGTGGGGCACTCGGGTGGGGGCATCCACCCCCCCTCCCCAGCCGAAACGCTGGGTGCCAAGGAGGCTCAGCCCCAGCACCCCACTGTACCCCACCACCACCCCAGGAAAGGTGCCACGGGGTTGGGGGAACCCAGCACAGCCCCCCCCCAACCCCCCCAGGGTGCTGCAGTGCCAGGGGTGCTGTACCCACCACCCACCCATGCCCCCCCACCGCCTGGGCGGGCAGCCCTGGGGACCCTCACCCCCCTGGGGCACCCCGCTCGGAGCCACCCCATCAACCAGGGCTGGGGGACCCCCCCCCCGGGGGGGGGGGAGGGGCTGGGGAGGACGCCAGGCGCTAATTAGTGCTGGGGTTAATTAATGGTCATTCTGCTTGTAGCTTTTTCAGTGTGTGTTTGGTTACTGTCTCTGGGAACCGTGTTTGAACAGATGGCTCTGTGTTACCGGGAGTGTGTGTACTTCTGTAGTCTAGTTAGGTGCTCTGCCAGAAAACCACCACTATACATACCTATAAATATATACATATATAGTCTATTTTAAGTTAAAAACCAATGAGACGAAGAGGCGGCGTGGCCCCGGGCCCCCCCGTCCCGCCGGGGTCGCCTCCTGCCCCGTCCCCACCTGAAAGCTTCTCTCTGCTTATTCCAAGGCGTTGGGTTTTTAATTGATTTTCTTTAATTTATTTTTAATTTCTTTGGGTTTTGATTTTTTTTTTTTTTGTACAGAAGAGTTGGAAAACTTCAAAAAAAACAACAAAAAAGACAATTTGTAAGATAATCGTGCGTGTGACTCCTTGTAAAATATTTTCAAATGGTTTATTACAGAGACTCAGTTATTAAATAATGTTCATATTTTCACTTCACAGGCGGTGGCTGCGTCATTGCCTGTGGGGACGGGGGCAGGGCTGGGGGGGGCGGAGCACGGTGCCGGGTGGGGGGCAGGAAGGACATCGGGGTGCTCCTGCCAGCCGGGTGCTGCCGTCACACCTGCCTGCACCTCCGCTGTGATAGGCAGGGACACGGGCAGGGATGTGGGCAGGGATAGAGGAAGGGACACGGGCAGGGATACAGGCAGGGATACAAACAGGGATACAGGCAGGGATAGAGGCAGGGGAGCAGGCAGGGATGTGGGCAGGGGTGTGGGCAGGGATACAGGCAGGGATAGAGGCAGGGGAGCAGGCAGGGATACGGGTAGGGGTGCAGGCAGGGATACAGGCAGGGGAACAGGCAGGGATACAGGCAGGGGTAAGGGATGTGGGCAGGGATACAGGCAGGGATAGAGGCAGGGGAGCAGGCAGGGATGTGGGCAGGGGTGTGGGCAGGGATACAGGCAGGGATAGAGGCAGGGGAGCAGGCAGGGATGCAGGGATGCAGGTAGGGATACAGGGATACAGGCAGGGATACAGGCAGGGATGCAGGCAGGGATACGAGCAGGGATACAGGCAGGGATACAGGCAGGGATACGGGAAGGGATGCAGGCAGGGATACAGGCAGGGATGCAGGCAGGGATACAGGAAGGGATACAGGCAGGGATACGGGAAGGGATGCAGGGATACAGGAAGGGATACAGGCAGGGATATGGGAAGGGAGG